TTATAGGATAACCCGCTACACTTACAGTCTAACCCGCTACACTTACAGTCTAACCCGCTACACTTACAGCATAACACGCTACATTTAAGATCTAACCCGCTACACTTATAGCATAATACGCTACACTTACAGTCTAACCCGCTACACTTAAAGTCTAACCCGCTACACTTAAAGTCTAACCCGCTACACTTACAGGATAACCCGCTATACTTGCAGTGTAACACGCTACACTTACAGGATAATCCGCTATACTTACAAATAACCCGTTACACTTGCAGTGTAACACGCTACACTTACAGATAACCCGCTACATTTACAGATAACACGCTACACTTACAATCACAATCATAGATACGTTAGAAAACTTCCTCTACACTTAACACGATATATTTTCAATCACAAACAGTCACAAGCTGAAATATGCTACAAACTCACAACTACATTCACAGACACAATTTGAAAACTTCCTCTACAAACTCACATACTCACATATTCACATATTCACAGTCATATGCACATATTCACAGTCACAACTAATTCAATTTTTACACATATTCACAATCATATGAATCTATAGTGTAGCGTGTTATGCTGTAAGTGTAGCGGGTTAGACTGTAAGTGTAGCGGGTTAGACTGTAAGTGTAGCGTGTTATGCTGTAAGTATAGCGTGTTATCCTGTAAGTGTAGCGTGTTATCCTGTAAGTGTAGCGGGTTATGCTGTAAGTGTAGCGTGTTATCCTGTAAGTGAAGCGTGTTATGCTGTAAGTGAAGCGGGTTATCCTGTAAGTGTTATGCTACAATTTCAGTCTATCACGCTACACTTACAGTCTACCACGCTACACTTACAGGTTATCACGCTACACTTTGAATTTATCACGCTACACTTACAATCAAAGAGATCTGCAGTTTATCACACTTGGTTGCACTCACAAAATTGCACAAGAACAAAATAACACTCATAAAATTACACAAAATTCCACAAAATAGCACTCACAAAATTGCACAAAATTCCAGTCTTACAAACTCCAAAATTGCACAAACAATAACGATATTGCACTAACAACACTTTCATTATCTACTTTCAAAAACTTACAATCTGAAACAATATGTTACAAATCAAACTCCAAAATTACACAAATCTTCAAAATATACTTAGCATAACTAATCATATATTCAAGGCAAGCTCTAGACTTTTTAAAATGTTACAAATCTTCACAAAAAACATAGCATAACTGATCATATATTCAAGGCAAGCTCCAGGCTTTCAAAAATGTTACAAATCTTCAAAATGTACATAATATAACTGATATTATATTCAAGGCAAGCTCCAGACTTTACAAAATGTTACAAATCTTCAAAATTGCACAAATCTTCAAAATGTACATATAGCATAACTGACTCCATTAACTCTACCCAGCAATTTCTCTTTCACAATCTTCAAAGCAAGCTCCATACTCTCCAACTCTTTATAAGCAAAATTTACAGGTACAAAATTCCAGATTCTTCAGATTTCACACCTCTTGCTTTGCAAATCTATTGTGTACAAATTAGATTTAGTTCAACAGAAACGATACATTCATAAATTGATAAAACCAATTCTACAATTAGATTTAGTTCAACAAAAAGGGATAGCACAAAAGAACATCAATGAACTAACCCTAACCCCCCAACCCCGACCCCGACCCTAACCCTAATCGAGTATATAGAAATGAGATTTCACACGAAATCACTCCTCCTCGTCATCGAAAGAGATCCCGAAGCCAAAATCATCAAGCATCTTGTTGATCGTTGAAGAATTGTAGTGTCTCGTTGGAGAGGGTGGAGGGGTGTCCGGCTGCCTCGAGATCCGTCGTGGGCCTTTTCAAGACATCAAGCACTAAAATCATGGGCCTTTCTTCCTTTCTTCTTCGATTTCTTGGTGGGGGCATGAGAGGTGGGATCAGAGGAGGAAGACAAAGCCTTGAGGAAGGAGGAAGACGAAGACCTGAGGAAGAAGGAAAATGAGGAGAGAGAGAGAGGGGTCCGGTTTAAGTGGGGGTATTGAAGGGTATTTTAGGGTTTTTATCATGTTTGGGTATGAATACCAGTGTTGTATATACGGTATTTTAGAAATTGGGTTTAAAGGCAAAAACAAAAAGAAACTTGGGTTTAAGAATACAAAGAATAGTTATTGGGCTTAGAGGTAAAGATGAGTAAACAAATGGGCCTAGAAATAAAAAACCCTAACTCTTAATGACTAATGAAAACCATATAGTATGCACAGACAGAAGTTGAAAATCTTAGTGCATATGTACCTTATATGCTACCATGAGGGGGATGAACGGGGACAAGGAAAAGTTACAAGCTTTCTCTAGAACTGGTGTAGCTTATCTTAGGAAGGTTAAAAAAAAAAAAAACTATGATGCATTTTCTTTCTTTCTTTTCTGTCTTTTTTGTCTTTGATAAACAGAGGTTGAATCCTACATAAATCCCCTACTCCTTGTGATAACTGCCAAACCTTGATAATTGTACCTAGTTTCTCTTACTATTGACTAGTGTTATAAATACTTCCGATTAATCTGTTTTATATGTATGTGCTAAGATTCTGGAGGAGTTATTGAAGTAATCATTTCAAGTGTTTATAAATTTTAATGCAATGGGGTCTCATAGTTTTTAATAATAACCATTACACTTTTAGATCAATTGAGTGCTACTACCTATTAACAGTCATCATGGTGTATACTAAATTGCAAATAAGGGGTTGCAACTAGAAGTAAATTGTAACCGAGAAAAATATGATAATTTAAATATCAAGAGTTTAATGACAATTTAAAGAAATATTCAAATTTCATGTGTGAAATCAAGAGTTTAATGACATTTAACTTAGTACCAAGGTTTTAAATATCGGATATTCAGGAAATACTAGACGGCCAAAATCCATATCAAATTGCGGATATTTAGGGAATATCAGGGATATATAGTAAATTTTGGAGTATCATGTTAGATGATGTGATATATTGTATAATATCCTAAAATGTAATCTAAACATGCTTAGTGAAATTTAAGAGTACAAAAATTAAAATAACATATGTTTAGGATTACTAATCAATTGTAGAAGCTTATTTAGGGAAAAGACCATACTAGAATTCACTAAAAATAATTTCATAAACCTAGAATTTTCTCTGAAAGCCAGTAAAATAGTTTTGTAGAACATATCGGTCAACATATTGGTTGATTATATCAGTCATCTTAGGGATATATAGCCCAAAATTTATCAAAAACAGTAAAGAATATTTAAACATATTGTTTTGTAGCAAGCCTTATGAAAGGATATATCGTTCGATATATCGGTTAGGTCAGGCACATTTAAAAAAAATGCTAAGTAGAATTGAAATCAATTTTTTGATATTATTCTACTAAGTTTTGCATGTGGATTAAAGTTCTCTTAAGGGACTAGGGGGTGGGAGGATTGGGGACCTCTCAATATGATTCAAAACCAGATTAAGTTCTAGCCAACTGTCAAAAATAGAACAAATTGATGTTATAGAATCACTGCAAAGGAGTGTGGAAGAGGATAAAGTTCTTAAATTAGATCACATCTAAGTTGCACCGAAACGTCTACGATTATTTATATGGGTGCAGGTATGGGTACAAGACACGACAAACTTGTAAAATATAGGGGATGGGGACACAACTACATATGGACATTGAAATTAATAATTTAAGTGATATCATTATTGTTTTTCAATTTATGTTATTTGCATCCTATCACATTTTTAAGTTTCTTTTATTATGTTGATTATTATAAATTGAAAAGTGCTCGTTTTGAACTACGCACTCAGACAACCCTCTAAAATCATAGTTTTGAACTTGTTGGGTATAGCTGAAACAAACCTGGTCCATATCTAACGAGCTTCAAGAAATGGATGTGAATTGTAGGATATACATATAAGAAGTTTATGGCAAGCCTCTTAAATTAAAACATATATCGTATAATGGAGTATATGTCTAAATAAATGTATGTATATCCAATGATGTCCATGAACTTCCATTACGGGTACAAGTCGGTTACATGTTGGGTATGGATACAGCTCCGTGATAGAAGTACTCGGATAATGTAGGATCATAGAAACAGGTTGGATGGAAGTTTCTAAGGTCAGGAGAGGAATTTCTTCTTTTTGCAAATGCTGATATATTGCAGACCTGTAGGAAAAAGGAGAAATATAGGGAAGTATCTGAGAGGAGAACTAAGTCAAGAAGAAATCAGACCAGTCAGGGGATCAATCAAAAGAGGTCATAAAAGAAATAGAAATGGCATATATTCAATTTTTTTCGCCAATGAGAGTTGTTTCTCTTTATATTTTGAGAGATCATCCTCGTAATTGGACTACTATTATTCGAATAACATCTTACTAGTAACATAGTTTGTAGTTTTAACAACTTTATTTAAAACTCTAATGGCCTTTCCTTTACTTGATGGTCTTGCATCATCTCTTTTCTTTTTCCCTTTGCATTTATAGAGGATCAAAAACGTCCTCTGCTTTATTAAAAGGATAGGAAACATAATATTACTGTAACCGGGGTTATGCCACATATAATAAGGTCCCGGATGTATTTTTTGGCCCCAGATAATTCAATCTGTTATTATAAATATGTTTGTTGAATAAACATAATTCATTGAATTTGGTTAAATCATTAGATGATGCTTGTTGCACCGTGATATTTTAAATTTGTAGAACCTTTACATATTAAATAAACTGATCAAATAAACCATCTAATGAACAACAGAACCCTTCTGGTTCGTTATATATGTTAACGACTTCATAGGAGAGTTAGTTTTGACAATCAGTTAAATTATATAGCTTGATCTAATTCATTAATAAACAGAGAGAAATTGTATGTCTTAATTTTCCTCCCTCACGTACTGTTGATATGTTGCTCTTTACAGCTTTAAATCAGCCTTTCATTACCGATTGCATTTAAGACTCAATAGAGTGTTTTCCTTCCTCTGAATTTTGCAGTAACCAAAGTCGATGGCTTCTCTCCCACTAGCAACCGCTGAAGTATGTGACGCAAATTCCCACCTAATCACAAACGGCGAGCTCCGTGCCCTCCATCCAATCTTCCAAATCTACGGTCGTCGCCAGGTCTTCTCAGGTCCAGTTGTCACTCTCAAAGTCTTCGAGGATAATGTTCTAGTTCGTGAATTCCTCGAAGAAAAAGGTAACGGTAGAGTTTTAGTCGTTGATGGAGGTGGAAGTATGAGATGTGCAATATTAGGAGGAAACCCAGTTCAACAAGCTCAAAACAATGGCTGGGCTGGTATTATAGTCAATGGTTGCATAAGAGATGTTGATGAGATTATTGGGTGTGATATTGGAGTTAGAGCTTTGGCTTCGCATCCAATGAAAGCTAATAAGAAGGGCATTGGAGAAAAGCACGTGCCTGTGAATATTGCTGGAACGAGGATTTATGATGGCGAGTGGCTTTATGCAGATACTGACGGGATTCTTGTTTCGAGGTCAGAGTTAACTGTTTGAAAGTTTTTAATATTTTTATTGTCTTTCTTTGTATCTGTTGTATTATCGTCTATGCACGTCTGCTAGTATGTACTTCAGTATTTTTTACTCGTATTGATGAGGATGTTTTAGGTATTTTCTATGAATAAATATCTGCTCATTCTAGAAAAAACACGGGCAATACGCTGTATATGTTTCTCTTGTTAGTCCTGATGTCTCATCTGAATGGTACTGTCTATATATTGTTGTAGTTATATTATTTTCTATGTGGGAACAAGGATTTGATTGGTTAAAATGTCTGATTGTGTAAAATTGCTGTGTATCATTATTGATATGGCTTCTATTTTTAGTTAATGGAAGTAAACATCACGCTGCAAAACCGCAACTTCGGAGAGAGTTTGATTATGACAATGGTTAATATTTATAAGTATTGTTGATGTGACTCACATTTCCAGTTAAATTAAAGGGGATCATGAAACTTAAATGTACCTTGTAGCGTCATTTTATATGGCTCGATATATCACCCGGTATATCATTTTTACAAGCTTGCCCCAACTGATATGGTTTCTAAATATCATTTATCAGTTTTTAGCTAGTTTGGGCCATATATTACCGATATGGCTGATATTTCAGCTGATATGTTGATCGATATATCTTTTCATATGGACTGTCGCAAAACAGTATTATCGCGTTTGGCAATTTTGGGTGAGATACGATGATTTTGCCATTATATCAAGTGACATTTTAACCTAAGAAAATGAGACAAAATGTTATAAGGTTGATTTGTACTTTTGTTTGTTTTAAAAGAGTTGATTAGTGATCCTAAATATATATTGTTTACATTTTGTAAGCTTAGATTTCGTTAAGTATATTGATATTACATTTTAGTGTATTATACTATATATGCAAACATTCATTATGACATTTCAATATTTATCATATATCCTCGATATTTTCCTGATATTCGTGATCCGATATGACTTATGGCCCTCTAATATTTCCCCAATATCCGATATTTAAAACTCTGCCTTGTAAAAATGACTGGTTATGAAAATGCTTATTATTGATGTGCACTTCTGCGACTTGGGAGCATAGGTAGTGTCTAGTTTATTACACAACACTAATTTGAATATATTGATATGTGACGGTAAATTCCACTATTTAATCTCGTGATGTTACAAGAACTCTGAGATGTCCGACGATAGCGTGCATTCACCGGGGGCTCCGTACTCTGACGGCCCAATTCTGCCGTGTGTCGGTCCTTGACGAGGGGGAAGGAGCAGTTATCAAAACTCCCAATCCTAGGGTGGGGTTACCGTACACCTACTTGATGGCGTGGTTCGTGTACCAATGCGAATGTTTGATGAGCGCCCCGGCGGCGCTTCAGGGCTATAAGTTTATCCCCTTCGTCCAGCGCTTGGAGAGGTGCTCTTGGAAGTGCAAGGACATTCCTGATGCCAGGAAGACGCTCTCCCATTTTGGACATTATAATTTTTGCCGCTCCTTCCCCTATTTCAGCGGGGGCGGATATGGAGAATCTTTCAGGGATGCGCCGACGGCGGATCACTACACGGTTCTTACCCGTGGTGCCTTTCGCTGGGATATCACGTTCTGAGAATGGGCCCTACATGCTATCTCGAGCCATACATCCCCTGCAGGTTCGCCCGCCAGTTTGGGTATGATCAATTGTATGTGGGCAATGCCAATCCCCACCTAAACTTCGAAGGAGGACTGGTTGACGGAGCTCGGGGATGGTTCTGGATCCATGCTGGAGGCACCCAGGCTCGCTTTGAGTTGCCCGCGAAGGACCGCGATTTACACCACACGCTCTTATACTGCCGCTGGTATCGGGGCGCTAGTGCTAATCCTGCCAATTTCTGGTTCCAGAACTCATGTCTGGTGGAACGCGATCGTCCTGTCAGGGGTCCTCTCCGTTCTTCGAGGCGAAGGGGCCACCAAATCGCTAGGGAGTTGTTCTCGGAGGATCCAGTTGAGGATACCGAATGGGTCCGCCTCTGTGACATCGGTCTAGTTAAAAAATATGGTGTTCTGCGTATGTTGGAAGATTCAGCAGATGGTTTATAGCCATGATATCTAGATCGAGGCTATCATGTTAAGGATTCATATATGAGTATGGTCCCACATCGAATAGAATAAGGAAAAAATGATGGGTTTAAAATAAGTGTTGGTCCAATACATAATAGCTTAAGCTTTTGGGTTAAAATTGGATCATAGCCTTTGTTTAAAGTCGCATTAATGTTAATGTCCCCAACCATTACACCAAAACTCGAAGTTGTGGCAATGGTTAAGGATTATAGTTGATCTTGAACTCATGTAACAATATCAATAGCTCATGAAAAACGAATATGCAAACTTAAAAAAAGGCACCCCAGGGCCAGGATCAGTTAGTTACCTCCAATGGGGAAAAAGTTATAAATGACCTGTATAATATAAGAAATCCATAGACAAAAGTCCATTTAAATTGATCTCATAAAAAGCGATTAATAAATGGGAGTAATCGAAACACAGTCCTCTGTGTTTTTCTTCTCTATCCTTTGAGAACCGTGTATCCTTTGAGAACGGTGTAGTAAGATGACTACACCGTTACATGTACCTATCCAACATATAGATTTAAATAATTAAGGATTTGGGACATAGTAACCACAAAAAAACACTAAATAAATATTATCCCTCATGATTTTGCATCTTCATGATTAAGGCGATGAAACAAACAGGATGCAGCACTGACTAAAATACCAGCCAATCCTTCGCTCACTACATCACTCCACTTCGCACACAATCATAATATTTCAACTAGAAAAAGAATTTCCTCATCAACACTTTGCAACGTCAAATGCTAAAGAAGCCACCCCAACTTTAATCATCACTGCTTTAAGGCACCATTACCTTCCACTCATCATAAAATTTTAAACAACTTTGATGACTATAACGTAACAACACACTATAATAGGATTTCATTTGCTCCCCTGGCTAGCAAATGATGCCCACCATTTCCCTTCACTAACATAATTTATATTTATGTCCACTCGATTAAACTACCGAGTACCATATCCACAATTAGCACTGCAAAGGTACTTTCTGAGCTCTACTCAGCTTTAAGCAGCTGTGATGAAGCTGACCTCTAATGAGAATGTTTTCAGATTTATCTCATCTAAAAACTTTACTTTCGGCAACCATCGCCATCCAACAAGTTACAAAAATAATTTCACCTGTAGTTAAATTTTATTGGTGTGGGTATTTGAGAGGTTCTAGAACCTCTATTGGACCTCAAATTGCTATTTCTAGCCATGATTGGTCTTGATAACAGATAGAACAGAAAATTGAAACAGTGAAGGAAAGAATTGAGTGGGGAAGAAGAACAGGTTCAAAATTTAGGAGAAGAAAAGATTCTCATTCATTTCATGATTTTGATCTTTTACAACCTTCTCTTTATACAATTTCAACTGAGAACTTGGCCTGTGCACGTGCACGTACAGTGTTTGTGCCAACTGTCTAACAGACTAACTGAATTCAAGTAACGACCAACTACTAATCCATTTATTACACATAAGTCCTGGAACTAAACAACTCATGTCCAATAACCTTGGTCTTTTGCAAATCAACCCCGTATCAGTCAAGCTTTTGCATATCAGTCCACTTTGCTCAATCCTTAGCTTCAACTCCTGTAATTCCATCTTCAGCTCCGATAGACATTTCCTTGGGTTCCCAGCTCTCATCTTCAGCATCTATTGAATGATTCATTTCCTGTATTCCAGCAGCAGCATCTGCAGCAGCACCTGACAAATCAGCACCTGACAAATCCCTCCCACTTAAATTGGACCTTGCCTCAAGGTCAAAAGAAGGAAATTTCTTAACCAGGTCCCAATATGGTTCCCAGGTGGAGTCCAAAGAACTACGTTGCTTCCATTTAATGAGAACTTCAGATACCAACCTGTTTCCCTTGATAATTGACCTCCTATCCAAAATTGCTTCAGGTTCATCAACAATTTCTGCTACATAATTGGGAATATCAACCTGGACAACAACATCAGTTCCAATCCTTTTCTTCAATTGTGACACATGAAAAACTGGATGAATTTTTGCCTGATCAGGTAAATCCAGTTTATAAGCTACTTCACCAATTTTCTCTAGGATTTGGTATGGTCCATAAAACTTTGGAGAGAGCTTGTGGGTTTTGTATGAAGACACACTGACTTGTCTATATGGTTGTAGCTTAAGGAAAACCCATTCTCCCACTTCAAAACTTCTGTAACTCCTGTGTTTGTCAGCATGTCTCTTCATTTGTTCAGCTGTATTTTTCAAACTATCTTTAATGAACTGCAAGGCTATATCTCTTGAGAAAAGGACTTCATCCACTGCCTCAACCCTGCAGCTCTTAGGGACATATGAAAGCAAAGAAGGAGGAGGCCTACCATATACTACTTCAAAAGGAGTAGAGTGTGTAGAAATTTTCCATGTAGTGTTGTACCAAAATTCAGCCAAGGTTAACCACTTACTCCATTCTTTGGGTTTGTGAGAACAAAAGCATCTTAAGTAGCTCTCCAGATTTTTGTTAGTAACCTCAGTCTGTCCATCCGTTTGTGGGTGATATGCTGTACTAAATTTCAGCTGGCTTCCTTGTAATTTGAATAATTCTCTCCAAAATAAGCTTGTAAACAGGGAGTCTCTATCACTGACAATAGATTTTGGCATCCCATGCAACTTGAATACCCCTTCAAAGAAGACCTGAGCAACTATCTGAGCAGTGTAGGGATGTGAAAGAGGGAAGAAATGGGCATATTTAGAAAGCCTGTCAACAACTACAAAGATAACAGTTTTGTCCCCACTTTTTGGAAGATGAGTAATAAAATCCATAGATAGATCTTCCCAAACATAATCTGGAATTGGAAGTGGCTGTAGAAGTCCTGGAGATGCCACATTTTCCCCCTTAGCTCTTTGACAAACATCACAAGCTTGTACATATCTCTGAACATCTTTCTTCATCCCCTTCCAATAGAAAGATCTCCTCAATCTGTGCAAAGTCCTGACAATTCCAGAATGACCTGCTATAGGGCTGTCGTGATGCTCTTTAAGTAAGGATGTTTTAATATTTTGAGCTGTAGGACTAATCAGAAATTTTCCTTTATAATAATACATCCCTTCCTTCTTGTGATATTTGTTATCCTCCAACTGTCCCTTGCATAATTTGGCATCAAGCTCTGCAAAATACTCATCTGTGGAGTACATATGCTTGATTTCTTCCA